AGCGCTGCTCGAGGCCAGGCCGCGGCCAGGGCTCCGGCTCTCGAGTGCCCAGGGGTTGTGCGCCCCTGGGCTCCTCGAGGCCCCTCCAGAGGGTGGTCCGGGGGGCGAGGGGCCCCGAGAGCGCCAGCGGAGGCCGCCTGCGAAGCCGGGGGGGAGCAGCGGCCTCGGTGTGTTCGCAGAGGCCCGACGTCTGGACTCGAGGGAGAGACACCGCTATAAACATACACGTTTGGCGCTCCGCGCGTATTTCTTGGATCCGCGCTGGGTCCCCCCGGCGGCGCCTCCGGCGCCGCCCCTGGCGTGCTCCGCGCGCCAGGGAGAGGGGTCCGGCGCGGATCCAAGACATCAGCGCGGAGCGCCAAAAGTTTATGTTCATGGCGTTTTTTATGATTCGATTCACCGTGTCAGCATCAGGGGCAACGATAGGTGGGGGTGAGCACAAGGGGGGAGACATCGGCCCCCAATCGCCCAATGATCGGCGATAGGGGCTCGATGGCCCCAACCTGCCCTGGAACGTGCGGATTCGCTATGGGGAGCATGTCGGCGATCTATTGGCGATGTAATGTCGATTCCAGGTCGATGTGTCCCCCCCTGTGCCAGTACCCCCTATGGTTGCCCCTAACAATGCGGGGTCCCAGTAAGCCCTGGCCCTCTCCTAAAATAGTATATCGGCGAAAAGCGCCCAATAGCGGCCAATAGCGCTCAACAACACTCAATAGTGCCAAACAGCGCCAAATAGCATACAGTAGCGCCGAATAGCGCTCGAATAGCGCCTCATAGTGCCGAATGGCGCCATGTGAGGGAGACGTATTATGCTTGCTTTGCGTGCGAATGGCCGCGCTAGTGGGCGCCATGGGCCATATAGGGGCGACGAAAGGCGTCCGCGAGTTGCTGTCTAAGTCTCCCCCGCTCTTGCTTTTGTGTCTTGAGTCGCTCGTTGTCGGTCATGGGGCCCTGCGAGGACCGCCAGAGGCCAACAATTGTAATTCGCCCGTCTTGTTTTCCAATGCGTTGGAGGTCTGGGGTTTCCAGGTCTTCTCCACGGTGCAGTGCAAATTTCGAGCCACCAGATCCGATGTGATATCGCTTTGTGTCGGTCCCATCCGATCCGAGGTCGACGTTCCGACGACTCGATGCTTGGATGGCGCCACTGTGCATGCTGATTCAGCTATTGGATCCGCTTTCGATGATGTGCCGACACAGCTCGCTATTCGTCACACACTTCGATTCGATCCGATTTCCCAATTCCCAGATTCATTGGCTTCATGATTTTGTCACGACGTGGATTCCCAGAGGTCTCGACCCATCCTGGGACCCGTTTTTCTTCTTGTATTGTTTTTTGACGGTTCTAGGGCCTGGCGAGGGCCCCTAGAACATTGAAACAAATTGCGCGTCATTTTCCTTCACGACGCGACGGGGTGAGAGGTCGATATTGACTCATCCAGCAGGTCATGCCTGGCCGGCTGGGGACCGTGGCGTCGCAGAAGGTCGCGCCGCCCGAGCGGGCGTCAGCGGCTTGCACCCAAGTCCTCCTCCTCCGTCGCCGCCACCACCCTCCCTTCCTGCTGCTGCTCCTCCTCCTCCTCCCCCTCCTCCTTCTCCTCATCATCCCTCCTCCCTCCTCCCTCCTCCCTCCCTCCCTCCCTCCCTCCCTCCTCCCTACTCCCTACTCCCTCCTCCCTCCTCCCTCCCCCCTCCTCCCTCCTTCCTCCCTCCTCCCTCCTCCCTCCTGCCTGCTCACTGCTCCCTCCCTCCTCCTCCTCCTCCTTTTCATGTTTCTCGTCCTCTTGCTCCTCCTCCTCCTCCTCCTTTTCGTCCTCCTCGTCCTCTTGCTCGTCCCCAATTTCCTCCTTTCCTCCTCCTCCTCCTCCTCCTCATGCTCCTCGTCCTCCTCCTCCTCCCCCTCCTCCTGCCCCTCCCCTTCCTTACGGCGGCACAGAAGGTGGCGCCCGCCGAGCGGAGGAGCAGCGTGCAGAGCGGGGCGAGCGCGGGGGGCGACGATCTGGCGCTGGCCCGGGAGGAGCTCGCCGCGCTGCGGCAGGAGCTGCGGGCGTGCGCGCAGGCCAGGCCGGCGCTGCCCGGGTGCTCCCCCCGCGCCGTTCGTCCAGCAGTGGCGAAGCGTCTTGGCGTGCCTGCAGTCCCACCAAGCAGTGTTCTGAGGGCTTCTTTGTGGCTCCCACGAAATGTTCTTAGAACATTTCTGGCTGGGACGGTCTTGTTTTAACAGATCGGCTTATGTTCTAAGAACTTTCTTCTTGTTCTCAGAACAAGTTTGGGTTCTAAGAACGTTCCGTGGTAGGACTACAGGAATGCCGGGACGGTCGGTCCTTGCTCATTCTCCCGCGCCAGTCGAGGAGTGGGAGGGGGAGCCTCCCTGGGCCGTGGAAGCGACAGGGCAGTTTTTGTTGCCGGTTCCGTCTTGCCGTTTTGCTGGCCGGGTTCGACGCCGTTGTTTTGCCGCTTCGCCGTCTTTTAGTCAAGCGCCAGCTTCGGTTCCAATCCTAGAGCCGTCGTTTTGCCATGTCGGGTCGCCGTTTTTTTGCCCCTTCCGTGTTCAAGAGACATTGCTTCAGAAACTGTGAAAAACGGCCCTGCCCTTTCTGGGGCCCACTAAGGGGGGAGCATTGCATCTCAATGCAGTCGAGCCGCTGAAGAACGAGCCGTTTTCGCTGGGGAGGGGCTCCGTGTTTTGTAATTGAGTGTTTTACAATTTGTTTTAGGTGTTCCTTAGGTTCTCTATGAGATCGTGATTGGACTCATGGAACAAGGGGCCTGGTTCGTTGCGTAGGGTTCCTTATGACAGCGTTTCGACTAGCCGTAGATTTTCGAGGCTCCGCGCAGGGTTCTTGGATCTGCGCTGGAACCGCCTGGCAGCGCCTCCGGCGCCGCCCATGGCGCGCTCCGCGCGCTAGGGATGGGGTCTCACAGCGTAGACCTCAGAAATCTGCGAGGATCGTCAACACTTCATGTTTACGCCGTGTGTTATACATATCAGCCGTCCCAGTCCTGGCCCAACCTGGGCCGGTTTGCGGTGTATTCACGGCATGGCCAGGGTGGCATACACACTGTTCGTGGGCCCAGGGTTGGCCAGGCCTGGGGCAGTGGATACGTACAGATTTCGCCGTTCTGAAGCATGCGGTTGGCCGTTCGAATGAGTCAATCGGAAACAATGTCAGGCCTCCCGGTGGGACAAAGAGTAGACGGGGTCGGAGGATTGTGCTGCATCGCCGATGCGTCGACGCTGCAGCTCAATGTGGAGCACATCGACTCCACGCCGACGGCGCCGACAGATCGCCGACGTTCGGCACGAACGAAATGGGTACGGAAAGCATGGGTACAATGCCCAACAGCAATCCCTGTTCATTTTGGACAGGACTCGCTGTCCACGCCGCCGCGGGCCTGTGTCCATTCGAGACAGAAGGCCGCCTGCCCAACAGCGGCCGCTGTTGGTTTGGGACAACATTTGTTGGGCATTGTGCCCGTGTTTTCCGTACCCATTGCGGGCGTCCAAAGACGTCGCCGAAGCATCGACAATTCGGCGCGACCTTCTGACGCCCTTTGTCACCACCCACCAGACCACCCCAACCCAACCCGAAGGCTCAGATTTACCCTCGATTTCCAGTGGGGGGGGGGTCGGGAAACGTCGAAAAAACACATGTGGAACCCTTAACCCCCCCCCAACCCGAAATTCGGGTCTTCGGGTTGGGTTGGGGTGGTCTGGTAGGTAGTCACTTTGGGAGGCCAACAAAACACTGCATAAACATACAGTTGGCGTCGGGCACATCGCGCGCGCCGTGGCGCCGCCGGCCCCGCTCACTGCACGCTGGCCCCCCGCCCCTTTGGGGATCAGCGTGCCAGCGTAGACCTCTGAACGCTCCTGCTCGAGCAGATTTGGGGCTCCTCCTCCTCCTCCTCCTCCTCCTCCTCCTCCTCCTCCTCCTCCTCCTCCTCCCCCTCCTCCTCCTCCTCTTCCTCCTCCCCCTCTTCCCGCCTCTTCCCCATCGCCGTTGCGCCCGTGGCCCCAGGGTCCCCCAGGAGCCCCGGGGAAGCCCCCGATGGCCTCCAGAGCACGCATCCACGAGGCCCAGAGAGGGCACCAGGGGCTTCCAAGTAGCGCTGTAAGCCTGCGACGCACTGGGCCGTCGGGAAGTGGAGGTGGACCCGGTCAGGGGGGTGCCCTCGTCGCCACGTCTGGAGTCGCATCGGAGTCTTGGTCAGACCGCACATCAAGATAGAGGTGCAGGGAGTAGCGGTATCGGTATCTTTCTTCGGTCCAGTCAGACCACTTTCCGTGGCAGGGCCATGGTCGGAGGGGCTCGAATTTTACAAAGCGTTGCTAGGTCTGCCAAGGAGCCAAGGGCTTTAGTGAAGGAGTTCGGGATAAAGACGCTTCAGCATCCCACGTCCTCCCTGGCTTCTCGCTCTGCCCTTCTCCCTCATCCGCAGACCGCTTCAGTTTCGCCAGAGTCTTCTGGCACCTGCGAGGGTCGGGGCTTTTTCTTGCTCCCCGCAGGCCTTCAAGGAGGCGAAGCTGAAAGGCACGTCGAGTGAGACCGCCCAGTCTTTCCACTAGGCTCGACCGCGGCCGTCCTTCTCCTAGGGACCGTAGGCGGCGATCAGAAGGCGGCAGGGCGACGGCAGTCGCCTGCCGAAAAGTCACCCCGCCTCCGAGAAGCGCTCCCACCCTCTGAGAGGCCTTCTCAGAAGCCTCTGCCTCTGGGACGACCTCCTGCCCTCCGAGAACCGAGGGAGACGAAATGGTGTGAACACACACTCTCGGAGGTCCGCGCGGATTTCTTGGATCTGCCTTGCGCCCCCCCCCCCCCCCCTCCGGCGCGCGGACCTCCGACAGCGCATTTGCAGACAGCCCCTGCTCTCGAGCCCCAGGTCCCGACGTTCTGCTCATGTCTTGCTCAACCGCAGACCTCGAAGAGGAAAACGCCATAAGCACGCATTCTTGGCGCTCCGCGCGGATTTCTTGGATCCGCGCTGGGCCCCCTCCGCTCGGAGCGCCAAAAGTGTATCTTCATGGTGTGTTTCTTCTTATGAGACCTTTTCTCGTGCGAGCCCCGAGCGTTGCTGCTCATGCGCTTGTCCTTCACCGAGGGAAGCCTTCTCGGAAGGCCTCCCCGGCAGTGCCGCCGCCTTCGCCGTGCCGCCTTCGTTGTGGCGCGCCGCGGGGGGGCCTGAAGAGTTGCGCTCGGTATCGCGCAGCTGCGCTGCCTCGCCTCCTCGCCTCCCCCCACTGCCGCAGGAAGAGAGGGCGGCTGGCCTTCCGTGTTGTTGTGTTGCTGTTCCTCGTCGGTCTTCTTCCTCTTCCTCCTTCTCCTCCTTCCCCTCCTCCTCTTCCTCCTCCTCCTCCTCCTCCTCCTCATCATCATCATCATCATCCTTCCCACCTTCTGTGGGTGTCAGGCAATTCCGAGGCAATGCCTCCTCCTCCTCCTGCTTCTCTGCCGCAGTTCCCCCCGTGGCCGCTTGTGGGGTCAAGACGCTAGGCTCGCACGCGAAACAAGTGGATACCGCTGGTCCGCGGCTACACCCCAGAGCTCTTTCTCTCGAGCCTGTTCGCTCGGGCTCGGGGCGCGTGCTCCGACTTCCCCAGGTCGGCTGTATCCATGGAGGACGAGGGTACCATCGCCGTTGCTGCATTGCCGCCGCCACCAGCCCAACCTGCGGTTCTCCCCGGGCCGATGCGGCCGACATGGGCTTGCGGCAGATGCTCAACAGCGCCGAACCGGGCAGTGCCCGATGCCGGAATGGAAGCGAGGGGCCACTTTGTATCAGGATGGCAGCATGGGCGGCACGCGTTGGGATTGGATGGGCATTTGCGTGCGAGTTTGCATGTGCATTTTCCTGTCAGGAGTGAGCGTGTTGGTTTATGAAAGCGCCAATGTGCTAATGCTGGCAATGCTCGAGACAGCGCGCCTCCATACTCTGCGCGCCTGTCTTGCGCGTTGCTTTGGGTGCGTCTTGACGCGCGGTCATTCGACGCGGCATCCGACTGAGGGGGCGCGCGCGGGGGTCTCTCAGAATCGCGCCCGCGCGTCGACGCGCGCGCCTTCCTTGGGGGCGTCGAGGGGCGCTGGCGCGAATGCGTGAACGGAGTGGGGGTTTCCTGCGTCGCAGCGGCAATTCGCGCGCCCGCGCTGGCAGCAGAGCGCTTCGGGATTAGGCGCGCAATTTCGCCTGGCGCGTTTTGCTCGGGCGCGGGCGCGTCTCGCGCCCCCTGCGGGGCCGCGGTGTCAGAGCGACCATGCGAAGGGGGTCGCGCGCTGTCGCGCAAGGGACGCTGCGCCAGGCCGACGCAGCCCGCGATCGCAGGGGAGATGCCACGCCTCCGCTGCGACGCGCGCCTCCGTGCCAGGTCGTTCGCGCCGCGACGGCGGCGCGCGCACGCGCCCGCAGCGTTCGTCGCGCTTCGGCGGGGGCGCGCGCGGCCGCGTCGGACATGCAGCGCCGCGGCGGCGGGTGCTCGTTGCGCCTCCCCGGGGGTGCGCCGCAGCCAAGAGGTAGCGCGCGGCCGGGCTCTCTGGGCCGCGCGTCGCAAGGCCGCGCGGTTCGGGGGGCCCCGCGCGTCAAGCTTGCTCGCGCGGCTGGGCACGGCGAGGCCGATCGCGCGGACGAGGCCGCTCGAACCTTCCAATCGGCAAACGGGCGGCTCAGCCATTCGTTGCGCCGTTCGGCTGGCTTCGCGCGGGCTTCGGGGCTCGGCGCGCCGAGGGGCGCCGGCCGCCGGGCCGTGCAATGTGCATGCGGCGCCGTCTGCGAATCAGCTGTGCGCGCGGGGGCGCAGCAACTGACATGGCGCGCGCTGGGTGCTTCCGCGCTCCGCTCGGCAAGTGGGCAGATGGCCAATCGCGCCGCCGCGCAACTGCGCGACCTCGCCGCTGGCCCCCCCGGCTCCCGGGCGGCGCGGGCCCCAAACAACTCTGCCGATCGGCTTCTGGAAGCGCCGAATCGCGTTGCGGCAAGGCACGGAAGGGCCATCGGAGGTTCCCGAGCGAAGCGGGGTAGTGGGCGCGGGCGGCGCAGGCGCGCAGTGGCCGAGCATCTTGCTCTCGCATTCTGTGCGCACGAGGCTCTCAGGCGCACGGCAACCTCGCCGCCGGGCTTCTGGGCCCGCCATCCCGTGCCCGGGCGCGCCTGCCTTTGCGCCGCGACGCCATGTCGCGGTCGGATCGGCGATTCGGCTGGCGCGTTGCCGGTCCAGTCCGGCCGCGCGGCGCTGGGGCATGGCGGGGGATTGTAAGATGGGCGTCGCGTCCGGGTCACAAAATTTGACGGTGGGCCTCGCAGGCTAGGGTCGCGTTGCACATCCATGCAGCACGTCGGTTCGGCGCGCGGTAAAATTTCCGCGGCCAGATTTGTTCCCTAAATGCGTTAATCGGGAAATTTTGGAGCCAGCATAAGTTCTTGCATTGAGAATGTTTGAGGACATTTCTGCACTGAAGAACTTTGACAGCGTCGCCGCGCCAAAATTGTTACATTCACAAATTTTGTTGACGGCGCCTCTGCGCCAAAACTTTTGCGCCTCCGTGCCGCAATTTGTGTATTAAGAAGTTTTGAAAGATTTCGTCCACGACGCGGAAACAGCGGCAAAGTTCGCGCGGCCGATTTGCGCGTGCATTGTTGCGTGCGCAACGCTTCGAGCGCGTCGCGCGTCGCCTTTTTTCGCGATTCGACTCGCGGCGACAAGGGGCTGTCTTTCATTTCGGCCGCCTCACGCGGAGCGCTCGTCCCCGCTGCGAGTCTTGAGTGCCTCCGCGCCCCCCGGGGTCTCGCGCCATTCCCAGCTGTCGACATTGCGCCCATCGCCCATAGGGGGCCGCGAGACTCGCCCAGCCCCCGTCCGCGAATTCGGTGCAGCGCGGCCCGTGCCCCCCCCCCTCGTCGCGGCACGGCCTGCGGCCGTCACAGAAATTCTCGGATAAAAGGGCTCCCGCCCTTCCGCCCCTTTCCGAATCCATGCCGAGGCGCGTCGAGGTTCCCGGTCGCCCGCCACGCCGCGCGAGTTCCTCAGAGTGTTGGTGTTGTTTCTTCCGAGTCGACGGTGGCGGGTACTGCCTGTTCGGCCACAGGGCCAGTTCTATAGTACGAGCAGAGCGCGTCCGCTGTCAGTAAGTGAATGCGCGCCAGAGAAGCTCCCCAGCGAGGCCAGTTTTTCTAGCATTGGAGCTAGAAGTTTAGCGTTGTGCGCTCATCCCGTTTTGGCATTCCATTATGTTTCTCCTCCTGCTCCTCCTTCTCCTCTTCCTGCCCTTCCTCCTCCTCGTCCTCTTCCGCCTCCTCTTCCTCCTCCTCATCCTCGTGTCTTCCGTCGAAGCGTACACATGGATGATCGACGCGCGCGTTGGCGACAGGTCCCACTCCCGTGCGTCGGCGCGCTCCGCCGCCAAATCGGGCGGCATTGGGCCCCACGGTTCGGTGAAGCACCTCCCCCGATGCATGTCAGCGTGCGCCGGGTTTCCCATTTTCAGGGAAGGCGCCACCAACACCACCACCACCACCACTCAGAGGCGACGATAGGGGTGAATGGCCCAGGGGAGGGCAATACATGTATTCAGGTGCGAATGCGTGAAATGCCCACCCCTGGGGTATTCGCCCCTATCGTCGCCGCCGAACCACCACCACCACCACCGGGGGTGCCACATCCAGCGAGGGGTTCCGCGATGCCTCCCCGAGATGGGGTGGGCTATGTCTCGAGCGCGGAGTGGGGGTCACCGCCACGGGGAAGGCTCCCGAGGCTCCTTGCGCTGATGGTGGTGATGTCTCATCTCTTTGGTCTTACCCTGTCCCCAGGGGCCCCCCCCGAGGCTGGTCGTCCGCCGCACGGACTGGCGGCCGACCTGGCTCGACTCCAGTGCCCCTGGTGGGGACTGAGCTGGCTCGTCCGCCAGGTGCGCTCGATCGTTCTGCCGTTGAGGATCGGTACGCTCGTCGAGGATCGTTGGGGGTCGTGTCGGACGATCGTGGGGCGTCGTGTGACACTGGGTGACGCTCGGGCCTGCCACCGTCCAGGAGATTTGTTTTCACCTCTTGGCGAGAGCGGGCATGACAGGGGGGGGCCGGTCACGTCACGACTCGCGCCAGCGCCGTTTGGGGGATGCCTATAGGAGTGCCCGGTTCCCAGACGGCGCGGGCGCGCATCGTGCGGCTGGCAGCGGGCGCTGTCGCATGTGGAATAACTGTCGGGTCCAGGGTCGGCCACGGCCCCCCCGATGGATTCTCGGTGGCGGAGGTCTCCGTCGTTCCTGCGAGCGTCTGCTCGGCACGCGTGCGCGTGCGATCATAGCTCTCCTCGGTGCCAGCGCCGGCGTGGTGCGCAGCCCCGTGGGAGCAGGTCGTCTCATCCTGCCTGCACCTGTGCTCGGAGATCCGGACCCAGCCAAATCGTTCCGTGATGTCCGGCCCCAGCCCACATCTCTGGGCCCGTTTGAGAGGTCGCCGCGGCGATCGATGCGGCCACAACTCGGGGCAAGGTTCTGTCAAGCAGTGACATGCCCACTCCTAGCCCCCTCCCGCTCCGCGATGTACACGTGGTTCGCAATTAAACATGTAACGACAGAGAGTTGTCACTTTCTGTTTTATTCCTAACATGAGCAGTCATTCCGAACCCTCCTGCGTTGGGTTCTCGTTTTGAATAGAGCACTGCGATCACAACGCCTTCCTTCCCGCCTTTCTGTTCATTCGCCCTCATCTTCTCGCCTGCCTTCTACCTGGCTTGCACCTGTCTGCCAGCTCGGCTCGTACCTCGCAGTCCTACGTTACCTCGCCATCTTTGCGGGGTTGCGTACCTGCCAGCTGTCGCCACTTTTTAGGGCTGCATGAGCGGTCCAGCGGAGTGACTTCTTACCGGGGATTCGGATTAGACCTTGCTATCCGTGGGGGGCCGCGGTCTGCGAAATTGTAGCCACTTTCGAAGGCTGCTGGGGGGTCCAGCGGAGTGACGTCTTACGCCGGATTCTGAGTATACCTGGCCATCCTTTGGGGGCTGCGGTCTGCGAAATTGTCGCCACGTTCGAGAGCTGCCGGGGGGGTCCAGCAAACTGACCGTCTTACCAGGGATTCATCTTATTCTTTGCCATCCCTGGGGGCTGCGATCTGCGAAACTGTCGCCACTTTCGAGGGCTGCTAGGGGGTCCAGCGGAGTGACGTCTTACCAGGGATTCTGGTTAGACCTCGCCATCCTTGTGAGGGGCTGTGATCTGCGAAATTGTTGCCATTTTCGAGGGCTGCTGGGTGGTCAGCGGAGTGACGCCCCACGGCAGATCCGGAGTAGACCTCGCCATTCTTGGGGGGCTGCGATCTCCGAAATTGTCGCCATTTTCGAGGGCTGTTGGGTGAGTCCGGCGGCGTGACGTCTTACCCAGGATTCAGAGTAGACTTCTCCATCCGTGGGGGGCCGCGATTTGCAACATGGTTGCCACTTACGAGGGCTGCTGGGGGGGTCAGAATACTGGCGTCCTGCGCGGACTCAGGTTCGCCTTACTTTCCTTTTCGGCGGGCCGCCCGAAGACTGGCGGCGCGCCTGCGGGCGTTCATTGTTCAGCTTCTGCTTTGGAGGGGTTCAGGGAGGAAGCGGAGCTGGCTGGCGGGTGAGCTCGTCCTCGCTCGCTTCTGCATCTTGCACTAGCTGTGCACAGCTAATCCGTTTGGCGCCAGGGCGAGGGCGACATGGCGCGGAATGCGCTGGTTGTCCAGCGTGCGTTTGGAAAATGATCGCCACCCTCCTTCCTCATCCTGCCTCGTTCGTTGTCGCTCTCTTCCGCCCTTCACCGTCTCACTGCTGCTGTCGCGTTGACTGTGAATTGTTCGTCCCGTCCCCTCTTCCGTCCTTTTCTGCCCCCGTTCCCACCCCTGTCGTCGTCTTTGAGACCGGGGTCCCAGTTTTCGTCTTTCTGTTGTTGTCCTGTGAGTCGTGCAGCTCGCGCGCTTACCAGATAGCTTCCACAATCACTGACAGATCCGGTGATGTCATTGGCCACACCATTGTGCACCAACTCGTATCACTCAATGCAGATAGGTTAGGATACGTCGACGGGTAGTCGGTTCCGACGTTCCGACGATCCGATGTGGCCCGATGTTTGCATGGTCTCGTTGTGCATATGGGCGCAGCCGATCGGGTTCGATATCAAGTGCGTGCCGATGCACCCCCCCGATCCAACGTACTCTTCACGCCGATCCGAGTTGCTTATCCGATGGTGTTGGATACTGCCTTCTCTGCACCCCAGGGGCGGCGCATGTACGGGGGGTCCGGTGGTCCTGCATCGCGGGGGGGCATCGGAGCCCTGGGACCGTCCTTCGCAAGTGCACCCGCGGCCGATCAGTTGGCAGGCCCTGAAGAAGAGACGCACACAGACTCCCAGGGCATTGATGTTTCAACCTTGGCGCGTTCTCGATGTCGGCCTCTACGGGTCTCTGTCGGGCCCCACGGCCATCAAGCACTGCCCGCAGGACGGGAGCGATCGAGACTTCTGGGGCCCGCGTGTGGAAACCGTCGCACCGCCGGATGTCTGGGAGCCTTCGGTCCTCTCACCCCATGGCGTGTTCTCCCATCTGCAGGAGGGAGAAAAAAAAACACAGAGACACAATGAATCGTCGACCCCGCAGAAAACATGGGAAACTCTGGGAAGTGGGGGGGAAGACAGCAACCCAGAAACCATGGGAACATATGGGGAATCCTTTTATCAGTGTGTATTTAGTTGTGTGTCCTAGGGCCCCTTCACATCTGTTCTCCAGCTTTCTCTTGCCACGCTGCGCCCTGAAGCTTCGTGCGCATTCCCGGGCGTGTTTCATTCCCCGCCTGACAGGTTGGGGCTGTCAGATTGTAAGAAACATGCCCCCCCTCGCCGACCCAGCATACCGATGCCGCCGATCCCCTGGGGATCCTTGCTCGCCAAGCCCCCTAATGAAGGTTGTCCTGGCGTCATTCCCTACCTCACCCACCCGCCATAGCGCGGCTGGCAGGCCCCAAGTGTCCTGGGTGGTCTTTGGGGATCTCGCGTGGCGCGCCCGTAGGCGTCGCGGCATCACGCCGTTGACGTACATCAGAGTCACCGATCAAACACATTCATCAACCGCACACATCAAGAACTTGCATCTATGACACGTATATCACTACTGCGCGCAAGGACCACAGCCATGACACAAGTCAAGCACGCGCATGCTTACATAGCAGTTGAAGACATGTATGATATCTACTGGGGGCTCACGCTGAAACAACCAGCACGACAACATAATCCTGCGACGCGCCAGTAGCACCATGGCACGCGTCAGCACCATGCACCAACGTCAAATAGCCATAACGCACATCAAGCAAGCACAGAACGAACATGAGCCAATACGAATACACATGAACAACTACTAAGATCACTCAGATACGTGGAACGTGCTCTAAACATGTTCGTCGCCCATGCACCAACACCGTGTATGGGGAGAGGGCATGGTGACCGCAAATCAATAACGCAGACGCAGGCACGCCTATGACACACTGCATCCTCATATCTCAGTGCTAAAGCAAAGAAAAAGCATCTTCATCAACTCATCAATAATGTACCGCTTGAGAATACACCAGAACAAGTCGGACTACGCACCAGGATTGCACACGGAGCGCATACAACACGAGCGCACACACCAGCAACACGCATGCAGACTACACACTGATAATATGGGCTGGTAACCTACAGCTGGATCACATACATCAGGCTGACACGTACATCAATCATACACGTCAACCACAGGCACCAATAACATATATGAACGTTTGGTGTCACGATCATGCGTCTGCACGAGTTGTTCAGAAGAGTATCAATCGCCAAGCTACATGACTAACACTCGTTCATAACACACCTTCAGAATTCGCATCACTGACATCAATACGGTAACCACACGCATCATCAGTTTATGTCATCGACGCTGCAACTCACACTACGATCGCATCCGGATAGCTTACCAAGCAACATAGTAGTACATTTGTACCACCCTGATACCGAGCGTGTTCACACACACACACATCGGATGAACCAACATGCATACACACCAACACACCAATAAACATAACATGTGAAACGACCATGCGTCAGCAGTTACGTAGGACGTCACGCGGTAAAGTCATTGGCGTCTGGCATCGAAACGATGTGCAGCAGCTCTCCAGTGGGCATCGTCGGAGGCAGAGTTGTTTTGGCGCCAGCGATTGTGAGAGAAAAGCGCGTTTCTCCGAGGTGGATGTCTTTTGATTCATTGCAAGTTTACTTGCATGGAGGGGGAGGCGTGGCGAGGCCAGAAAGGGAATTTGCTTTTCACGCAAGTCGTTACTCATTGGCACGCCCTTTCGACCCAGCTCTGCTTGAAAAGGTGGCGGAGGGGGACGAGAATGCCAGCCAAGTAAATTTGCCCGAGTTTGAATTTTACATCGCTCGGACTCGTTTTTTTGTGGCCGAGGCCAGCGCCAGAAAGTTCGGACCGTCTCGGAGCATCTTGTCGGAAATTGGAGCATCTACAATACCCGTGGCGTGCTGTTTTTCAATCCCAGGTTGAGGGCCGGGGACGACGTCGGGGTGGTGTGGTGTATACTTGTTTCCCTTGTTTCCCGTGGCAAGAACGAAACATGTATACACCCAAACCCCGTATACACCAGGATCCAGTTTCCTGTGCGAGTTTCGGTGCGGGGCCCGAAAAAGCGTCCGTGTATAGAGATCGGCTCTTTATTTAATCGCTTCGCTCATTCCGCCGGCCCATACAGTCTCATGTCTGCCGTTTGCCCGAGGGCCTGGTGTCAATGCGGCGCTTTGGGGGTTCCTGGGGCCGCTTGGGGGACTCCTGGGGCGCTCGGGGGGGCATTTGGGGGGCCTCCTGGGGCCGCTTGGGGGACTCTTGGGGGCCTCCTGAGGGCCTCGTGGGGGCCTCTTGGGGCCTCTTAGGGGCCTCTTGGGGCCTCGTAGGGGCTTCTTAGGGCCGAGGGCTCGAAATGTTGTTTCGTGTTCCCTCTCTGGGGCCCCTTTGGGGGCGTTCTTGGGGCCCTCTTGGACCGTCTTGGAGGCTTCTTGGGCCGTCTTCGAGCCCTCTTGGGCCATCTTGGGGCCCTCTTGGGGGCCTCTTGGGCCCTCTTGGGGCGATCTTGGGGGCCTCTTGGGCCGTCTTGGGGCGTCGGGAAGCCGAAAAGGTGGAAGCTCCAAAATCTCTCAAAAACCTAAGGAAAAACAATGAATTTTGCCTCCGGGGGCCCTCTTGGGAGTGCTCTTGGAGGCCTCTTGGGGCGTCTGGGGGCTATCTTGGGCGTCTTGGAGCGATCTTGTGGCATGTCGGACCCCTCGTGTACCATCTTGGGGGCCTCTTGGGGGCCTCTTGGCCTTTCTTGGGGCTCTCGGGGACGTCTCGGAGCCCTGTTGGTGCGCTCATGGAGCGCTCCTGGAGCGCTCTGGGGGACTCCTCCCGGGACTCTCTCAGGACCTTGCCGGGGTACTTTCCGCCCGGGGACCCCCAGGGGCCGCCCCGCGCGCGCGAACTAGAGAATTGTTAACCAGTTACCGGAGATCTTAGCACGCCTCTGGCCCGTTGGGCCGGCGAATTTTGTATCATCTTCAGAACGAAAAATATGTGTGACACCGCACAGTGAACGAGGAATGGACGTCCGCACGACGGCAAGTGAAAGACAGCCAATCTTTTGGGAAGGGCCCTGGGACGCTCTCGCACAGCGGCCTCAGGCGGAGTGGGCGCAGGCACTCCCGGGGCCTGCTTGGCGACGACGCGGCCGCAGAACGCAGGCCGCGCTGCGACGGTCCGCCTCCCACCCTGCGGCCACCTGCCGAGGCAAGAAGCACGGGGACCATGCCCTCCCCCTCCGCCTCTTCTTTGGGCCCCGACAATGGGCGATGGGGGTCGATGAGTCCCCCGCTGAGCACAATCCCCCCTTCAACGTTACTCATGATCTCATCGGGGGCACGCTGAACCAGGGACATGCCCCCACCCCAGCCAACCACGAGGCAGCTCCCCAAACCCAGGGATTGGCTGATGTCCCTCCTCCTCCTCTTTCTCCTCCTCCTACTCCTCTTCCTCCTCTTCCTCCTCCTCGGGGGATGTGCCGATGCCGATCTTTGTCACGGTGCACGTCGGCCGTCGCCGATGCGCGAGGATAGTCGACGCGTTGACGTTGACCAATATCGACGGTAACCAAGGTCGACACGACATTTCCGCGTTCAGTCTGGGGCATGTTCCCCGTTCTCGTCGGCGAAATCCGAATCCTACCCTCGCCGATCAACGATTCAGGCAACCCCACGGGCGGCGGGGTATGTGTTCGGAATTCATCGAGCACGTGGCGAAATCCGAACCCTGCCCCCAGCTTCCCATCGATTCGGGAGAATCGAGCGCTGGCGGGGGCAGGTCGGACGGGACTAGGACGAGGATCAATACGTGCCTGAGCGTGCCAGAACCCTCTCAGAGCGTTCCGGAACGCTCTCAGAAGGCCATGGCGCCCGAGAGATCCTCCAGAACCGCCAGATCTCATCGTAGCGGGGCTCGGATGTCGCCACCCAGTGGCCCCCCCGTTCCTTTCCCCTCCGACCCCGGGGGGGGGGCGCCGCGGTGCCCCTCTGTGGCCGCTGGACATCCCGGGACCGGGGTCGCAGGCGGGAGGTCGCTCTCTTGTACAGATGCCTGCAAGCTTGCCAGCACGAGTCGCGCCCCGGCGCCCCCCTCACGAGAAGGGGGCGTGCCGCCATCTCTTGCGCTGGCCAGGTGGCGGCCCGTGGAAGCTCCGAGGAGGGAAGGGTCTTCAGTTTTCGCCATTCTGGGCCTGGGAGGCTCTCGTCGTCACCGCTGGATTCGCGTTGAAATTCCAGTCACAGCGCACCTTGGGAGAGGTCTGGGGAGTAGCGGTATCGGTAACTCTTGGTTTCCCCAGAAGCAGCGTGTGTGCGAGTGAAGTTGTTAAGAGGAATGGTTGTTTTGCTGATCTTGGCAAGTTTTCCTTGCACGGAGCGGGGTGGGTCGTGGCGAGGCCCGTGAGGAAGTCCAGACCTCAAAGCGGAGCTCACTCGCAATTTCTGCCGAGCGTTCTTTGATCGGCGTCGGAGGGGGGGAGGGAATAAGGCCACGCAGGTAAACTTGCATGTGTCTGCAGCCTCCGAGGGGGTTCAGCGCCGGTGGGGGTCAGGCAGCACTTTCTGGAGGAGGCAGCCCCTTGTGGAGGAGGAGGAGGATAAGGAGTAGGAGGAGGAGAAGAAAGAGGAGGAGGAGGGAAATCATCCTCCCGCCGCCCTCCGCCAATCCCTGGGTTTGGGGAGCTGCCTCGTGGTTGGCTGGGGTGGGGGCATGTCCCTGGTTCAGCTTGCCCCCGATGAGATCATGAGTAAGTAACGTTGACGAGGACTCAGCGGGGGACTCATCGACCCCCCATCGCCCACTGATCGCCAATAGGGGCCCGATAGCCCACCCCGCCCAGAGACGCGCTGAATCGCTCTCGGGGTCTTCTCGCCGATCTATGGGCGGTTGATCGCCGAATCCAGCTCGGTGTCCCCCTCCCCTGGCCTGGGCCTCTTCTGTCTTTGCCACTCATGCGAGCGGGTGGGAGGAAATTTGTCCAGGGGAAACGGCGGGTCCAGAGTTTCCAGTGTCGGGCAACGCCGAGCCCAGCCTGAGCGAGGCCGCTTGGAGCCAAGAGGCTCCGTTTGGCGAGTCTCCGATTGGGCGTGGCCTCCTCTGTGGCACAGCTGCCTCCAGTTGGAGCCAAGGGAGTCCATCTGGTGGGCCCCCAAGAGGGCTTTGCCTCTTCCGTCATGTTCGGGGGCCTGGACAACCTCGGGTCGTTGGTCTGGGGACGCTCCAGATGAAAGGCCGCTGATCTATCTTCAGATTTCTGGAAGCCGATCAATGGAGAGGATGCATGTTGCCAAACTCTTTCCAAAAAACGTCTAACACATGTTTCAACCATGTTTTTTGAAATGCTGGAACATGATTTAAATATCGTTCGAACATGCTTTCATCATGTCGAAGACATATGAGCCACTTGCCCAAATCAACGATAGAACGGTTGGAGTGTCCATCGTCATGGCATCCACACTTTTAGATTACCGCACAAACGCGGAGACCGTTCAGGATCACACAGTTTTTCGCGATGGCAGAAGCCGAGGCCTGCCCCGTCGTGACAGGAATTCGGAGTTCGCCGTGCCGGGCATCGCGACCACAGTTGCCAGCTTAGTCGCGTTGTTTTGTGGGCTGTCTTGCTTCTATGCCAGACCGCACTTGCCCTCATGGTCGCAGTTGCCGGTCTGGCTACCTTGGGTTGCAGCCTGGACCCCCAGACCTCGGGGTTCCCTCGATTGCCGACTTCACCCCTATCAGCCTTGAACAGTTGTGCGCGCTGGAATTTTATTATTTGGCCACCTCGCTTGCGTACGTAAGCTTGCATTTCATTGTCCAGTCCGCTGGAATGGTTCAGGAATTGTTTCACGCCGTTCGGCCCGTAGACACCTGCGGGATGCCCGGATAGGATGATTCTCACCCGACAGCGTCGCTGTGTGCATGCCCGAGGGGCCGGGCCGCGCGTTGTTTGCGCCGGACGGTTCTTCTCAGGGAAGAACAGCTCCGACGTGGGGGCACCGAGGAATGGGAGGAGTTGGATGATCGCGCCACGTGGTCACTTGGAGAAGTCCAAAAGGGAAAAGAGAGGTTCGGTAACAAATCACAGCAGCCTGGTATGTCCTCGTAATGCCGCTTTGGGAGTGCGCTGGCGTGCGACAGCGCCTGGTAATCGATGAGGACGCGCCGATTTAGCGTCGCCGTAGCGTCGATGAACGTCGACTAGCGTCGATGAGCGCCGACTCGCAGGAGCCAGCAAGAGGGCATTGGGTGCTTTCATGAGCTGCCACAGAAGAGAGAATGGGAAAATGAGGAGTGGGAGGGCAGGTTTGGAACGGGGTCAAGCAGTGGCGAAGCGTCCATGATCGCCAATTGGCCCACCAGAAGAAGATCACACGCTTGTGGTTTGCACGGAAGGCTCTCTTAACATTTCTGGCTGACACCGCCTTGGTTTAAGCAGTCTGCATCATGTTCCAAGAACAGTGTTTTGTTATTCGGACATTCTCTGGATCGAAGAACACGTCGTGGTAGGCCTGCAGGAGTGCCAGGACGGTCGGCCCCTGCTCAACAGTCGGAGGTTGATAGACCTCCTACCCTGACACCTCGATTAGTGAATTGGCCGTTTTCGGTTCGCGAGAGGGCGTCGCGGCCGCAATTTGTGCGGGTCTAGGTCCGTCGGTTTTGCTCCTAGGCCGTTTTCACTAAAGGGAGGTTTACGAAAGAAGGGAGGTTTGTCCACCGCCGAAGCAGTCGGGAGGAGGAAGGCCTCGTTTCATGCGAAGGTCCGTCTTGCGGGCTGAAGAGGTTTGAGGGGTGTGGGAGGGGAACGCGGCGATGACGGACGGGGAGCGATCCGCCACGCGCAGAGGGGAATAGGGGGAGGGGGGAATGCTTCTCAGAAACACCCCTGGTTCTTAGAAGGCGCAGGCCTTGTCTGTAGATGTAGGGCTGGCGCCTTCTAAGCCTTCCTCCCTCCCCCTACCCCCTTGTGCGCGCCGCCAAAAAAATGAGAAAGGAGGGGTCGGTCGGATTCAGCACTGCAGCAGTCTGCGCGCCGTCTTGCCGAAGGCTCTCACCCCGAGAATCAAGGGGGCACACTTGCCTCTACCGCCACCTTCCCTCCGAAGGGGAGTCTGGCCCTGAGCCCCAGGCGGCCCAGAGGGGGCGGCGGACGGCGCGACGCGCCAGAAGCGACAGCGCGGATAACCAGGATGGAACATGTATGCAGTCGGCCTGGAGAGGATGCACTGTGAGGGAGGAGTGCAGCCATCGAAAGAGGAGGGATGGAAGGAGGAGGAGGAGGAGGAGAAAAAAGGAGGAGGAGGAGGGGTAGGAGGAGGAGGGGGAGCGTGGGCACTCTGCAAGCTCCCGTCGGCTCCACTCCTCCCTCGTCCTCGTCCTCCTCCTCCTCCTCCTCCTCCTCCTCCTCCTCCTCCTCCTCCTCCCTCATCCTCATCCTCCTTCATCCTCCTCCTCCCCTCTGTCCTCCTCTCCTCCTCCCCCGTCCCTCCTCCTCGGCGGGCTGCGGCGGCCCCGCAGCTAAGAGCCGCTCGTCCTCTGTGCTTCCCCTGCGCTCGCCCTCCCCCTCCTCCTCTCCTCCTCCTCCTCCTCCTCCTCCTCCTCCTCCTCCTCCTCCTCCTCCTCCTCCTCCTCTCCTCCTCCCCCCCCTTCGCCCTCGCCCTGCCGTCGCTCCCCCTCTTCTCGCCCCTCCGTCGGGCTCTCTCTCTCTCTCTCTCTCTCTCTCTCCTCCCCCCCCCGCCCCCCATTTTGGAGCCGATGCCCTTTCTTGCACCGCGCCATCCCCCCCACCCCCCCAAAACAAAAAAACACCCCCGCAGAATGCCGCGCAGCGATGGGTCGAGGATGCGGTGGAGAGGGGCGATGACGAGCAGCGCGCAGGGTCCCGAGACGAGCGCGCGAGGGTCCCAGTGCCCGTGTTGCACAGAGCGATCCGCAGCTTCGAGCCTCGAGGAGGAGGACGACGGTCCAGACGACGACGCCGACCGCGACGACGACAGCGACTACGACCGCGACGACGGCGGCCGCGGCGATGCCGACGGCGACGGTTGCGGCGACGACGGGAGACGAGCGGCCATGGTGACGCCCATGGTACCGGCAGCGATGGACCGCGACGATGCCCGCGGACGGCACGAGGTGTTGGGAAGCCGTGAGTTTTTGTTCCAGTTTAGTTGGCGTTGGCCCCTCAATGGGCCCGCGTAATGCGCGGCGTAAGGTCGCTATGTCATCTCGCGCAAAACCCGTTGTTTGTCGTCGTTCACATCTCAAAGAACCGCAAGTCCACCACCACCCCCATAAGTTGCGTTTATTAACCGACCGACCCCGGGCGTTTGCTACACAGCCTTGCCCTGTGCGATTCCTTCCCAGGGTGCAGTCTCCGACAGACTTTGCAGATCGGGGCGCTTTTTGTTGGAGGGTGGCCTTTCTGCGTTCGGGGGGCCCCCAAGGAGCCTCCAATAGGCCCCCCAGAGGCCTCAATATACCACCAGGACGCCCACGTACAGTGGTGCCCATGCCCTTGGCATCGCTCGGACGTGTGCACTTTTTCGCGGCGGGGGTTACTAAGGAGCATCCTGGATCATCCTGCGAAAAAAAGCCGCGCACGAACCCGAAAAAAACACGGGGCACGGACGTCCGAGCGATGGCCAGTGCCAAGAAGCACCCTCCTTGCTTCCGAGGTGCCCTGGGTTACGTGGGTTTCGATGGTTTTGCTGCGAGAAGCGTGACGCTCCCGCTCCAGACATCAGCGGACGTCCTGGGGTCTCACTTGGCATCGCTCGGACGTGTGCATTTTTCCTTCGGCGAGGACCATCGAGGAGCATCCTTGATCATTTGGCCAACAATCACGCACGAAACCAACAAAAAACACAGGGAATGGACGTCCGAGCGATGGCCAGCTCAGGGTTGGGTTTCGTGTGGAGGTTTCTTGTGGACTAGCTTCCACTGCACCCATCGGTCGTTGAAAGTGGGTATTGTTGGACTCCCAGACTCCAATCCACTTTCAGCGCCGTCCTACTTCAATGATCGAGCGGCTTCACCTTTTCCGTCCTCCTTAGGGGGCGGACGGAACCCAATCTTTTTTCAACGCCTTCCTGCTCCATGTTTTTATTTACGTCTTCCGACCGATGGGTATGCTACGGTTTGACTGTGTATCGCTGATCCATTTGCAACGTATCGCCGATTTCGGCTCGATGTTTCCCACCCCGCCAGAGGCAGTCTCTCCCCACCCCCAACCTTCCCCACTCGATGTGTGTCCCGCTCGGGCCAGCGTTCAGCGCGTTGTTTCTCACCGCCCACCAAATCACCCCATCTAGATCTAGAGGGCGATGATGTAGATTACTCGATTGCCCAGACGCGTTCCGGTAGTGCTGTATCGTCGTTTTCTGGGTGCTTCGGCCCCACCCTGCAGCGCCCCCCGCGGCGCCCCAAGCAGGTCGCAGTTCGCAGTTCGCAGTTCACCAAACC